GGTATTTTTTATCCAGGATTGGAAAGTTTGTTCCTGCGATTTTATTTACCTCTTCATAATTTTGTGGAAGAGGTGGCAGAGATTAACCTTTTATCTGATAACCTAGTATTTAATCTTCTTTACCTTTTTAGAATTGCAGTAGGTTACAGGTTATCCAATCCTGCAACAATTGTCTACACTTGTAGTAAGTAGGGAAGAGGAATGCTATTTTTCACAGGAAGCTTTATACACATATCTGTACTACTCAGGTATTTAAGTAAAATCCAATACAAATATAAGGCAAAAGAAATAGAGGAGAAATGTTTAATATGTAGTAATGGTTATTGAGAAAAGTTATTAAACATAATAGAGTTAGAATTTCTTACAAATGTTATTATCTAACCTTGTATATCAAAACCTGCATTGTCAAAGAGATAAATAAAAAACTTTGTAATCATTATCAACTTATATTATAGGGGTAACTAGAATTCCTGGTTTTTATATATTATTCTACTATACTATCCAATCACTGGCATGACACTTATAACCAAATTGGCTGTATTGGCATTAGCTGCTATATTACTCTAGATATTGTAAAGTACAATTTCTTGGAGACTTCAAATAATAATAATTGTATATCAGTTTTTTAGATGTATCTAGTCTAACCATCAGCAGATAAACAATATCAGATTTGATAATGATAATCATGTTGATTTTTTGGAGAAGTAAGTCTTTCATTTTTTTCTATAGAGTCATAAAAGAAAAAAATCCCAAAGCCCATATCTTGAGAGAAGTTTTCAATTCCTAATATGACTTTTGAGAAAAAGAAGTTAACTGGTCAGAGGGTTGATGTTATAAAGCAATCTTTATAAAAGAAAGAGAGATCTAGAGAGAAAAACTTTTAAAGAAAAGAAAAAAACTTAGCTTTGGCAGGAAAAACAAAAAGAAAGAAAGTAAAGTAAAAAAAGGAGTATGTTTTAAAGAGAGGAAAAAAGAATAAGGGAAAGAAATAAAATGATATAAAGAAAAGAAAATGAAAAAAGGTAAATAACTTAAAGATTTTTTAAAAAGAAAATTTTCAAGTGTAGAAGGGAAGTAGAAAAGAGTTTTAAAAATAACTAATAATTTTAAAATTAAAATTTTTAATTTTTAATGAACAAATAGTTATAATTGAAAAAAATTTTTTAATATTTATTAAAAATAGATTTTATAATATAAAGCTATATTTTAAAATAATTTTATTATTTTTTAAAAAATATAATATTATATTTTAAATAGTTAATAAGCAAAAATATAAATATAATATTTTAGAAAATTATAAAAATCTTATTAATATATAATAAAAATCAATATTATTATAATTAAAATAATATAAATAAATATAATGTATTAAATAAATAATATAATTTAAATTGCTAAAACAAGAAGATTTTTTTTTGAAAAATATTATAAGATATAAAGTTATAATTAAATGTTTAATAAAATCTATGTATTGTAGTACTTTTTATCTAAAAAATAAAAATAAATATTTTTAAAAATATTAAATAAAAACTAATAAAAAAAGAATTTAAATAAATTTTATAATACAAACATAAAAAATCTAAATTATTATATATTTCAAATAAAAATTTATTAGTTAAAATAAAATTGAAACTAAATTCAATTATGTTTTAAAAATAACAAATATCTTACAAACAAATTTTAATAATTATATAAAAATTCATTGAAAAGAATAAGTGAATTTTGAAAAAATAAATCATTAAAAAATAAATTGCTAGTAATTAAAATCTTGAATAAATAAAAAACTTTTAAAAAGATTTTTGCTTTAAATTTTAATCAATATACATGTTTTGAAATATGTTTATATTAAAATATTTAGATTATTATAAAAAATGATTAACTTGAAAATAAAAAAATTATTGTTAATATAGTATTTTATAAAATTTTATATAAATTATACACTTATATGATCTTGGTTTAATGTAATCCTAACTAGAATTCTGAACTAAGTACTGAAATAGTACTAACTTGATATGGACTTATAATATATTTAATATATGGGTTGTGACCTACTATATTAAACTTATAGTAAATTCAGTACCAACTTGGTACCAAAATGATACTATTAGGAACTTTAATCTTAATCTATGTAATTATTATAATTATTGTATATTACATAATGTAGTAATTTCTTATAAAATGTTTGTTTAAAATTATTATATTTAATTAAAAATATTATAAATTTCATATATTATGACATTAAATTTTTGATTTTTAGAAAAGTGCAAAAGTTATCAGCTATTTTATACAGTTATTATTTACAAAAATTTTTTATAATATTAGAAAAAATAATTGAATTAATAAATAAAAAGATGAATTATGAACTCATAAACTTACATTATATAACTTATAGATTTAAATATAAATCGGGTTTGAGTTTGATTAATCAATGAACAAAAATATATTCATTTATATAACGGATATTTGAGACAAAAGTTACAATAGTAAAAGCATGTTATTATAACGTTATCGAATTATTTTACCAATTAGCTCTAGGATTACATTATAATGAGTTTTATGTGTAATATAAAGATACTGTATACATACAGTATATTTATATCAACTTGATCAAATTACATGAAAACATTTCATACTGGTTTGTTAGCTAAAGACTAAAGAAGACAAAACTTTATTAATAAAACCAAAATCGATGCAATAAATGCATGCTTCTAAATAAGATAATAATATACTAACAATTTAAAGAATTGTAAATAAACCATATTAATTTAGAACAATTTGGCATAATATCATTACATAAAAATTTTCGATCTAGAATTTATAGAATGAAAAAAAAATAAAATTTTACAGTTGATAATCATTCAAAATATTCTATCACTTAACACAAATAATTTATATTATGCTTCAAAAATTCGTATCGTCTAACTATGTCAAAATTTGGGAAATAATTAAATAGAGTTTTTAATTTTTTACACCTTTTTATACGAGATTCTTCAAAAGAACAGCATATTACGGGAATGGCTAAATATTTTTGTGCAAGTTTGGCCATAACAGGTAATTCATCCTTATGTATACGCCACCACTCAATAGGATCAATGCGTTCATTTTGACTATATAGTGACAATATATTATATCTTTCAAATTCATAATCTCCTAAATTTCCAAGGTGCTTAGAACTCGTCGCCAATCCAGAATTTGATGATGTGTTTTGTGTTCTTGCACATAATTCTAAATATTCTGACTCAATGTCTTGACGGGCTTCGTCCATTTCATATTTCTGTTTTAATTCATGTACTATAAATATCAATAAATTTTATAAACATTATATGTATGGAAAAAAACTTACATATTTTAGCGCATTTTTTGTATACGGATCAAAAAATGCGATTTTACATTGTATATGACCAAAACAAATGTCTAAAAAGTAGTGCGTATGATCAATAAATAATTTAGTAAAGATCTCGTCTATGACTAGTTGATTTTGTTTAATATGTTCTTCAAATTTTTGTTCAAATTTCCTTATATATTCATCTAAACGTGAAAATTCAATCGCAAAAGTATAAAGCGTATGCTTAGCATCATCAAGCTTTCGCATAGCATTTCTTAAAAATGTAAAACATAGATTCAAATTATTGAAGAATCTGATCACTGTAGTATCTGGCATTAAACTACTTATCCAGTTTCCTTTAGATATAGTTTCGGGGCTATTGACTAATATAGTGATCCATTGCCGAATCGGGGTTTCTAATATTACTATATATTCTAATGCATAAAATATGAATATTAGTTCGTCATTAATGTACTTTAGCAGATGTTCAATGTTATTATTTCGATTTCCTCGAAGTGCTTCTTTAAGAAATTCTTGCTCATGCCTAATTAGATAAGTGATCAGCTCTGTAGAATTTTCTGCATTAATAATGATTTTCTTTGCTTCTTCCATAATATAATCTATTTCTTTTTCTAATAATTTTTTATGATGCTCATCAAAAATTTCGAGTAAGCTATCAAAAATTTTGAGTTCTCTATCAAAAATGATCGCCAAATAAATTTTTAAAATATAAGTACAATTCACATGTATAATATCTTCAAAGTTATTAATTGCTTCTAATAATTTATAATTTATAACATCTTCTTTGGTTATCGATTTGACTTTATCGTTTATCTCCCATACATTCAAAACTCCTTTAATGCTTTTGAAAATAGCATCTTTATCAATATGCTCCGGGATTGAAATAATACCCAGAAGAATTTCATGAAGTTGAAAATCATCAGAAAGCCAATGACAAGTTATCTTCGTATAATCACAACTATCAATTTCAAAAGAATCAATTGATAATGCGACGGATTCAATATCACGGAGTAGATTTTTTAATTTAGGAAACAATTGATCGTAAAAGTGTATTATTTGTGAATCGGTAAATTCAGAGGTGTGACATTGAGAATTTTTTGATTTAATGAATTGATAAAGATCTGAATCCACAGTAAGTGAGAAATCATTTTTTCTAGGTGGGTTTGTTTTTTTAGATCTTTTGTGACCTATGGTATGACTCTGGGCTTGTCTTTTTGAAATTGCGTTTACGATAATATCATGATCTTGTCTCAAATGATATCTTAAATTTGAAGGTGAGCCACTATATTTATATTCCTTAACACATCCTGGAAGTTTACACTTTGTTTTACGAGTTTTTCCATCGGACGAAACAGCAGGGGTTGTAAAATAATTCCAAACTTGACCTTTGTTAACTTTTTCAGCTAAGTTGCATTGAGAATTTTCTTCGGGTATTATTTCTGGTGACTGTATTGCTTCACTTGCTTCGCTTTCTAATGTAAAAAATGAATCTACGGATTCAAATGTAGAATCATGTAATTCAATGTTAAAGGACATCGTAAAGACATCAATACAGATACTGCAGCATCAAGCACAGTATTTGTACCGCTGTATGTTACATTGTAATACATATTTATTCCTTACTAAGCACATTCAGAGAATGATCAACAAAAAATTTTTAATTATTTACACAAAAAAAAAATTTTTAAAAAATATTTGTGAAAAATATTTGTGATACAAGAAAATTTTTTTATCGTTACTCAATTTTAAAATAAATAAAGAAATATGAATGGTTATACTTTTTAAAAAAAAAAATCTTTAAATTCAATAGAATGATCCGGAATTTTATATTGTTATAAAGAAAACCAAATAAGATATAAAAGAATTAGATTATCCGAAATCAATAAAGATAATTAACACATATGAGATATTTAAAAGAACAAAATAAGATGTATAAAATTTGTAAAAAAAAGAAGATATTTGAAAAATTCTTTAAATTATTCGTTATATTTATGCATTTAACAATTTAATAAGAAAAATATTTTATTAAATAAATCATACAGTGTATACTGTATATTCAAATAATAAGAATTAAAATAATAACAAAACCTATTTACATATTAACCGTCGTTATCTATTTTTTTTAAAAATATATACAATTAAGAGAAAGAATGCTCATATCCATTATCTTTTAATTCCTAATAACCATATTTATAGAATACAAATGGACAATCGAATATTGTCTATAGAGAAAACCGAGTGCATAAATTTCAAATAGTACATATACTGTATGATATAGTATATAATAGTTATTTTAAAGCCTAATGATTTAAATAAGCTCTTAGGTAATAAATTAATTAAATATTTTTCATGTTCCATTTTCAAAATTATTGCTAAATAAAAAACAATGTTCTATTGAAATATTTGAATTTATGAAACGTAAAATCTCTCAAAATTTTTAGTAGCATTTACGGCGAATTGGTTCAGGAATACAGTGTTTGTAAAACGTAGCCGAAACCGATAATAATTGATTGATTGATTGATTGCGTAATGAACCTTATTTAACGATCTGACCTTCATAAAAAGGAGCCAAAAAGAAAAGCATTTACAGTAATAACGTGACAGATGCGCATGTACATTTACTGTATAAAGTGTGTTGTACTACAGTCGTATACATACCATATGCATTTCGGCATTACAGTATGTATTATCCGATATGGAACTAACTTCGATATGTCTTTTGACAACGCTGAATCAACAATCTATACATTTAATTCTCAACACTCATCTTTCACATCAGCAAGTAAAGCAATGCAACAACCAGATATATTTTTTAACGAAAATCCTCGATGCAACTCAGTCGAAAGAATCAATAGGAAAAGTCGGATTTGGAATTATTTCACAAGACTAAATATTTCGTCCGATGGAAAAACTCGTAAAATAAAATGCAAACTCCCTGGATGTGGTAAAGAGTTTATTTATGGGAACTCACCTTCAACGTTAAGATACCATTTGAGACATCACCATAATATTGTCGTAAATTCAAATCAAATCAAACTAGCTCAAGGTCATACAACAAGTCACAAGAGATCTAAAAAAAATACATCTTCAGTTACTGAAGATTTGGATTTTTATCGATTCATCGAGTTAGAAAAGTTTCGATATCATACATCAGGAGTGATCGATTCACAAACAACGTACTTTTATAATCAACTTTGTCCTATATTAAAAAATCTACTTCGAGATGTTAAATCTGTGTCATTGGCAATTGAGTCTTTTAAAATTGAAAGCTATGAGCATGTGAGGATAACTTGCCATTGGCTTTCTGATGATTTTCAACTACATAAAATTCTTTTAGATATTATTCCAATTCCAAAATTTTTTGATATTGATGAGATTTTCAAAAGCATTAAAGGATTTTGGGATGCATGGGAGCTAAACGATAAAGTTATATCGACAACCATGGGACAGGATTTGGATTATCGGGTGATTTGTGCAATTGATAGATTTAAAGATATTGCGTATTTAGATTGTGCTCTTGATATTGGATCTGTTTCAATAAATATTACAAAACCAGTATCCGTTTTTTGCGAAGACCTTTATTATGACTTTTCTGAGGAGGGAATTGAAGAAGAAGTGAATCATATTATAGAAGAAGTAAAGAAAATTTGTAATGATGCAAAAAATTCCGAGGAATTGATTATTTATCTAGTGAGACATGAACACGAATTTCTTAAAGAAGCACTTCAAGGCAGTAGGGATCATACTATTGATGATTTGCTAAAATACATAGATAACGAAGCTGTATTCATGTATTATGCATTAGAATATATAGTAATATTGGAAAACCCAATTCGACAATGGATTGCTACACTGGTCAATAACTCCGAAACTACGCCTAAAGGAAATTGGATAAGTAGTTTAATGCCAGACACTAAAATAATCAAATATTTCGACAATCTGAGCCCATATTCTAAAATACTGAAAAACGCTATGCAAAATCTTGATGATGCTAAGTATACGCTCTATACCTTGAAAATCGAATTCTCAAGTTTAAGACAACATATACAGGAATATGAACAAAAATTTGAAGAGCATCTTAAACAAAAACCACCTTTCTTGGTTGAGATTTTTACTGTATACTTTATTAAAGAAATCGAATTTATATTAAGTGAAATCTTTGGTCATATACATTACAAAATCGCATTTTTCGATCCGCATACAAAAAAAGCGTTAGAAGATGTAAGTTTCTACTTTTATACTGTACTTAATACTGTATTTTCAAAACATATTATTTATTAAAATGTACATCGATTATTATAGGAAGATGAAATGGATGGTGTCTATTTAGAAATTGATTCAGAATATTTAGACTTGTGTGAAAAAACACAAAACACACCAACTAATATTGATGAATTTGACAGATATGTTACGTTAACGCTAAATAATCCGAATGAACGCATTGACCCTATCGAGTGGTGGCGTCGACATAAGAATGAATTACCAGTGATGGCCAAACTTGCACAAAAATATTTGTCCATTCCCGTCACATGCCATTCGTTTAATGAATGCAATAAAAAAATGGGTGCCAGTCTAAAATCCATAATAGATAACTCGTCAAATTTTGAAATGGCCAAAAGATATGAATTTTTGAAGCAAAACATTAATTACTTGTGTTAAAAGAAGGATCATTCGAATGGCTATGCGCATAATATGATTAATATTCAAAAATGTTTATGGTATATCTCTAATCTAGCTTGAAGATATATATTTTTGATACGGGTCATGAGGCCTATTTTTGCACTATAGAAAAGGTCGATATAAAAGCACATCAAGAATTTACTTTCTTTCCTTCTTAAAATATTATGCCAACTTAAATCAATTCTTTATGGCAAATTGCCATTATTATTATTGTCTATTGTTATTATTTCAAATTAAAACAAGACATTATCTCCTAGATAAATTTTGGTTTTTTCTTGAAGTGTATTAAATGGGTTGGGTTCATGTGCAGAATATAATTGATGTAACATGTACAATATTGAGCAATAAGATGCATCTACCATAAATTTTAACTTCTCATATTTCTAGTTGACAGTATTCCATCATTAATTTTAGTAGTCAACAGATGTACTCGTGCGTAAGAAATGTCCGTAGATAAATAATAAAAATATTGTTATCAACATTCTGGGATTTACTGTATACAGTATACTGTATGTAATCACGATACTGTATACGGTTGATCATTGCGAATTACCGATGAATTCTAATGTTATCGATCGAAAGGAAACCGTAACATATACCTATAAAAAAACACTACTGTAATAGGAATGTGATGTTGAAACCAAAATAATTTCATAAAGACTTCTAAGAATTCAAGTTTCTCAATACTCAAAGTCTCGGCTGAAATTAAGGTTTCGGCGTAAAAATATCAACTTGGTTATTGCATTCCTACCATAACACTAGCACTAATGCACACCAGCGTTCCCAGATCCAAGAATCTATTGAACCTTAGACAGATAGAAAACCTTCCTTATTAAATAAATACCAATGATGAAAAGTGATTTCGTGTTATTTAAACATTTTTTTTTTATTGAGAAAGTATTTACAGAATTACAAGATGTTATGATTTCTCATTTCATTGATCTCATCCGACGATCATTGAAATAATTTTTCAAGTCAAATCGGATATCCTGAAGAAGCGTATCAATGTTTTGAGATAACTCTATTTTATTGTATGCACGGGAAAACTTTAAAATCGAATAAAGAAACTTGGATTTAATCTCGTCTGCATAACTCTCAGATACGACAAAATTTTTTATCAGGTCAAGAATGCTCGCTTCATCGTATGCTATGTCAGGAAAATGCCATTGGATGTTAGAATTTTCTGAAGAAAATTAAATCTGTGTAAAAGAAAAAAAAAATCCTTACTAGAATTATCAGCAGCAATCTGGCGCCTCAATTCTGCAGCAAATTTTGATGATTCCAGTAACCTGAATTCTCCATCTAAAGATGAATTTCGATTACTTTTAATCGATTTCCAGCGAGATATACTTTCTATTTCGGAATCTAGAATTTCGCCAGACGTTTGATTTATACCGGAAACATGATTCTGACCTCCATTTGACGTATGACTCACATCAGAAACAATCATACTAGAAATTTCACTTGCACTAGATGCTTCACCCACATTGGGCACCACATCATCCATATCAGTGGTAACTTGACTCACAGCCTGACTCAACATATCTAGACCAGTGCGTTCTTGTGACAGCACCAATTCAGCAGCACGACTAAGATAGTCAAGGTTATTAATTTCAGCATCTTTTATCAGGGCTGAAACTTCCGCATCTTTTATCAGGGCTGAAACTTCCGCATCTTTTATCAGGGTTGAAACTTCCACATCTTTATGATCTTCATTTTTTTCAACCGCTTCAACATGCTCAACTTCCATAGATGTCGCCGAGTCGTCAGCATTATCATTACTTAATATTTCATTACTATCTTGTATCCCATGATCTGTTTGCGATTGATTTGTCGTCAGTACAGTACTCAAAGATGCTAACATATCAAGCCCAGTTGGCAAAGAATCGGTTGTCGCAGATTCTTCGGATAATGATAGATCAGCTTCTTCCGAAACGAAAGATGAGGGGGTATGTCCTTCATCCACATTCATTGATGTGGACTCAAACGAGAATGATTCTGATGTTTCACTAGATGGTGAAAGTGGTGTATTTGGTGATTGAAAATTATTATCTGATATTTTTGTAAATTGCGACTTGATTGTCTGATTTTGAGATGATCTTGTGGGTATCTTTAGGGATCTAGTTTTCGTTGATGTTTCTATAGTTGTCGTGATCTGTCTGCCGACGACAATCACGAATGGTTTGACCCCTTTTTCGGGAAGACCGGGGAAATGAACAGGCTTTTGCGAAGCAGAAAGTTTATCTCGTATTCTTGGTGGCAACTTTGGAAAGGTCCTTTTTGGAAGCGGTTTCTATAAGATAATGATTAAGAGAAGTTAAATAAAGTAATTTAATTTAAGGATAATAAATTACATACCTGTTCACGATTTTTAAATGGACTACCAAATGCACGTTGATCGCGCTTAGTCTTCTTCCCGACATTTTCTTCGTGTGGATCCCTCAACTTATGTTTGTCTCTCTTGGCCAT